TGGGCATTCGCCTCTGCCCCATGCGTAAGGAGAAGCCGCACCACCGATTCCTTCCCGCTGCACACAGCTGCTTGTAGTGCATTGCCGTAACGGCCACCCGGAGCATTCACCTCTGCCCCATGCTCGAGGAGAAGCTGCACTACCGATTCCTTCCCGCTAAATGCAGCTGCTTGTAGTGCATTGCCACAATAGCCACCCTGGGCATTCACCGCTGCCCCACGCTCAAGGAGAAGTTGCACAGCCGACTCGCTCCCCGTGCATGCCACTGCTTGTAGTGCATTACCGTACCTGCCGCCCTGGGCATTCACCTCTGCCCCGCGCTCAAAGAGAAGCTGGACCACCGATTGATTTCCCTGATATGCAGCCGCTTGTAGTGCATTACCATAATGGCCACCCTGAGCATTCACCTGAGCCCCATGCTCGAGGAGAAGCTGCACAATCGATTCGTTACCCCTCCATGCAGCTGCTTGTAGTGCATTGCCATAACAGCCACTCTGAGCATCCACGCCTACTGCATCCTCTTTTCTGTTGAGCAGTGATTTAGAGGCCACCACCAAATTTAAAAATGAGGAATAGTAGATCGCTGGTGGGTAAACTCTGGAACCCAGATCCATATTAAAGTAAGGGTGATCGGGGTTATGTATATCCAGCCACCTTTGGCCCAGCTCCAGGACTTTCAGAGAAGCGTCAGAGAGTGGTGCGGGTGCTATATTCTCGATAGCTTTAATATGTGTAGGCCAGTACTCAGCACTATGACGGAGAAACGGCGTCACTTGGATTTCGTCTGCGGATATAATAACTTGAGCACTGTGTCGCAATATCCGACTAAGGCAAGCATGGCTCATCAGTAAATTGGCTTTATCCTCCGAAATATGGTAGTAGGCGCTGGGGCCCTGAGCTGCCCTGTCGGAGATCAAATATTCCTTTACCGAAAAATGAGCAAGTCGTAATCGCCGCCTTTCCTGGGCGGAGGGTTCACCATACCGGGCATCTTCGAAGGAAATAAGACTTGGGCAAATGCTCATGAGGGACTCCGGATCAAAGAGCGTTCCTGGATCCTCGCCATACTTGTTGACATCGTATTCGATCACAACTGCTTCTGCAAGCTGGCATAAGCTCAATGGTTCAGCTGAAAATGCGAGCCAGTGCATCGCGCGCTGAATGTATTCCCTCTGCGTCTCGTGAATGCTGTTAAGGATCCTTAAATAGACAGAATCTAAGTCTTTCGGTAGTTCTTTCAAGGCGCCTCTAACAGCCTTTGGCGTTATGCATTCCTGTAGGATTCGTAAAAGGCAATCTACCCACCGGAACCTTCACATTTCCAACCTTGTATCAGCCTAAGTTAAAAGGTTCGAAAGTTGAGCACAACATACATTCCTTGTGCACGCGCGACGAGTATGTCCTCTATCTCACTCCTAATTTCCTTGGTGAATTTCTTGAAGCCATCCTTGCCGTCTAGAGAGTTCCGTATGCATGCGCGGATATCTGGATCTATAATATTTGATTGTAGGGATATTGAAAAATTGGTAAGTGGCTCTAGGGATTTCACTATATCTGTCTCGGGACGGCTGGTGACGAGAATAGACAGCGATCCCGCATCATGATCCGCCATAAGCGCGCCAATCCAGGATAGGACACTTCCCCGTGTGCCCTTGGGGAATTCGTCTAAGGCATCTAAAATGATAAAGGTCTTTTTGGAAAGCTTCGTGGTGTGCAAAAATACGGTTTGCAGATCTTTTATATCTGGTGACGTTCCAATTGCCTTGGAGTTGTGATATAAATTCATAATCTCATCGGGTAAGAGTGGGTCGGAAGGCGCTCGGAGTAGTTGGCCAATGAGAGATAGGAGCATATTGGCCAAATTTTGCTTCTGCGAGTCACTGAAAGTAAAGTAAAAATAGGCTAATGCGTGATCATCGCTCATGCTGCATAGGCGTTTGACATCTTCAATGGCGGTAGCACTAAATGCTAGTCAGTAAAAGAAGTTATATTGCACCTCTGGACATGCGGTTAGGTTCGCACCTGAGGACACTCTTGCCGCATCCAGCTATATAGACAGAAATGTTAATAATATTCCTTAGAGCATAAGATTTCACTCATCCATAGACTTACGTATTCCATGAAGCCAGAAAACGCCCCCACGACCTTCCTTCCAGTCCATATAATCGCGTCCCTCCAGCAGCCAATTCCCCGTACCGGGTTCACGAACAGCAAGTGCAGATGAAAAATTTGTGGCAGGATCAACGACGTTAAGCCATTTCTGTACTTCGCGGAATTCTTTCTCTGTGATTTTAGAAATGTTAGATATTAGTAGTAAAAATAATTGGCGCGCGTTTAGGGATAATGTGACTAAGTACCATCTTGTTTTCGCGACATCGTTGTCACCGTCTTCCTAGACAGCTGGTTAACCTCGCCGACTGAAAAAGAAAAAAAGAGAAGAAGAAGAGTAATCGGGGAAGCTAGATTTTCTGGAATCGAGGAATGGGCAACCTACGTTGTGGCAGTAGTCAACAACAATTGAAGTTTCAATCTCTGCTTTTCAACCAAGCCCAGATAACGCTCCATTCTGGGCTTATGAAATGGCCAAGCAAATTTCCTGGAGGATTTCCTCCATCCCGGGACATCTAACTTTTCCTTTAGCTCCTCCAGGGCAGTCTTATAGTCTTTCAAACTTTCATTTTTTGTCCACTCGAGAAGCTCAGGGTATTTCGGGTTGTTCCCATCGCCCTGCTCAGCAAGGTTCTGTATTTCCTTCAGCTGTTGGTCAATACTCCTGATTTCGTCTCCTAGTTTCTTGAAATCTTGTTGGCTCTCCTTGACTCCATCGCAGTAGTCATCGCAAAGCTGGTAAACCTTCGCGCCGAGATGAATGAGGGCCAAACCGCTGGCAGCCAAGGAGAAGGGCTCTGCCATTTCTTTTCTCACAAATATTGTAGGCTTAAGAGGGGGAGTGTAGAGATGTGGCGATGATAGCTCGCTATCTTTCAGCACCGGTAGTGAAGGATAAACAGGGATCGGTGATCAATTTCGAGGTGGATGGTGCTTGTATCTTTGGAAATTTCTGAGCTATGCTTTTCTCCGGCGGATTCAAAGATGAGGTGGGATACCGCAACTTCTCGTAGAGGGTATCCCTTCAGAGAAATGTTTTTTCCAGATCTCCGTGAGCGGGGCTACCATCTGCCAGCCCTTGCACATTCGAACGGCAGCTGTAGGCCTAATCCTAGCGGGAACGGCTGTAAGGCAACCATTACACTTGCCTCCATGTACAGGTTTTGGTAGTAGTATGGTGTGGGAACTCTGTACCCGGAGCAGCAAAGTGAGGTATTTGGGGGCCAAAGTCAAAACCTAAAGACTTTTTATCAGCAATTCCGGTCAAAAAAATAACTCTATTAGGTGATAGAGTAACTTGTTGGCTTCAGACTAATAGAGAGACAATCAAATTATCTTTTGTCTTCATAAAGCTAATGAAGCTAAAAAGGGGGCAGATTTTGGGTGAGAGAATTGAAATGTCCGGGGTATTCTTGGGCATGTTAAATTCTATTAATATCCATAGGGAATACAATTAAGGGAGGTTTGACAAGATATTAACCTATATTAAGGAAATTCTTAGAATCTTAACATACTATTAGTAAGCCAGGATGAATGTCCTCCTGCCCCGGCTACAGAGTTCCCACACCATAGGAAGAAGGGTTTGGAGCCCACTCCGGGATGGGACTACCAAGTGCTCTCGCTTAGTCAACCACCGAATTTTTCAAATGTTGAAAGCTGGATTTTTTGAACGAGCGGCAAACGAACAGGGGTCCGTGGCAATGGGGCCAATCGGAAAACTAACCGAGTGACTGGCTGTGAAACGAAACAACGCCAAGCTCACTCACGTGAAGGGATCGCACAACTCACACTGGCCGAAAAAAAAACACTTTTCTCTCTCTCTCTCACCCTTAACTATCGCGCACTGAACTAACTAATGGTGAAGACAGGAGTATATATCCATCGAGCAACAACTGACAAACTTCCATATTCCCCTCAGGTAAGCCCCCCCCCCATATACGAGCAAACACAAACCAGCAAAGGAAAGACAAACTTGCGCTCCCGCCGTGCGCCCTTCCACTGCGCTCCTCCACCGTCCGCCCTTCCACCGCGCTCCTCCACCGTGCGCTCTCCCGCGCTCTCCCCGCTGCGCGCCTTTCCGCCGCGCTCCCCGCCATGCGCCTTTCCGCCGCACTCTCCCCGCCGTGTGCCTTTCCGTCGCGCTCCCCCCCGCCGTACGCTACTGCCGAGCACTCCCAAGCTGCCACCGAGCGCTCCCACTGTGCTTCGGAAGCGCTCTCCCGCAAAGTAGACAAACAATTAATAAACAACGAGCAAACTAAAGGGTAGGAGGAGGGGGGGGGGATGGGGGAATGGGGGGAATGGGGGAAGAGGAAAGGAAAGGAAATGAGGGAAGGAGAGGGGGGTAAGGGAATGATGGGCCGAGCATGCCGAGCAGCATCTCGGGATTTCCAACAGGATTGGTATCATAGCGATTACCAGCAACGGTTTTCCTGGGCGTCGTCCGCACTCCCGGCCCCCAGCCTCCCCGAACGCATTTAGCTTTCCACCCCGACACATTCGGTCCCCACCTCGCTACCGGTATCGCATTCCACCACCCTCTAATTTACTCGATAATGCTATTCGGTCTTCTCGCCTCTACATAAGTTTGCAATGCACAGATCAATGAACATACCTTAGTTACCACCCACCTTCTATCTGTTGTGCCCGTGCCGCCGAATGAGTCTCCGCTCGCCTCAGTGTCAGGATGGGAGAGATTTTGTGGGTCCGAGGTTCGCTTTAGTCTCTTTACGTAATTAAGCAGGTTATCGGTCAATCTACTTTCACCTGCATTTCAGTCGCGTTCCACCTCCGTTCTGCTTCTCATCTCTCGCGCGTTACAACTGTTACGACTCGAATGTGTGCACTGTCTACTGGTGCGCCGGTGTACCGGTATCTAGCATTCCAATTAGGAACCGGCGCGGGCTGAATGAGTCATGATACATATCGCAAACTTTGCCCTCACAGTGTCTGTAGGGCGGCGAGGTGCTCTTGGGCACAAGTATGTTCCGGAGCATATTACATATCATGCAAAGTGGCCGTAACTCACGATCCATCCGGCCCTGCCTCAGGGACTGGTGCGCTAGAGAGTTCACAACTCTGAATAGGACCCCAAGCCGCTTTCCACCCGTTTTCCACAGCCTACATCTTGTGCTACTACACCAATCGCCGGGGGATCAGACTGCCTCTTTTTCTGTGGCACGTCCGGGGTAGCCCCCAATATCCCCTGCCATACCCGCATGGGTACACCTCCCCCAAGGAGACCTACTTGCCATCTGCTAAGTGAAAGGTTCGGTGGCTGCTACGGGGCTAACCTCCTTTCCGTTGTTTTACTTTCCTATAGTTCATCTCGAGATTAGCTTCATTGCTATCTTCCCTTTTTGGGCTCTCAAAATTTTGTCATCTGGGTTGGGTAAGAGACTTTATTTGCCTGAGCACTTTTTGCGCTTTTCTCCGTGTTTCTAGTTCTATCAGCGATTCCCTGAAAGGTACAGCTAGGGTGAAAATTCTACCCGACTACCCAACCCGCCTTCCCCGTACGTAGGGCATCCGGGCCCTCCACTGTCACCTCACACCTCCCTACAATGTCCCGGGTCTTGTCAGACTAGACGCTTCACTTCCCTAAACGAAGCACACCGCCCGCTAACACCTGCATCGATGCCCCAAGCCACCTGCCATCCCGGGCCACTCGCTTTGCGGGACGGATTGTTTGAATTTTAGCCATCCAGGAAAGTGACAGGTGAGTTGTGACAACATTCGACCGAACCATGCACCATTTTCTGTAGGATTCGGTTCTCTGGCTACTGGTCGGGGTTTTTGTGGCGAACGGAATGACTGCGGCTCGAGGCGATAAAGGGGAGAAGGAAACTTCCGAAGGGAAGATGGACTGGATCGGTGGAAGTTTGTGATATAGAGCTCGATACGCCCTGCTATTTACCATAAATTTCAAAGCCATCACTCTCCACACTTGCTTCCAATACCGCGGCTCTTCCGCCGACTACTATACTGTGCTCTGTACTCGAGGGGGGAGGGTGGGGAATGAGAGACAAAAGTGTGAGAAATCTTCTGATAATATATCATGTTGAATTATTGGCAAATGGTGACAAGACTCCGAAGATTTTCCTCTATTCATCTTACTTTCCCTATTCGCATTAGGTTGTCGAGCGGGATTAAAATTAATATAAGGGGATATGTATCATAAAGTACGCTTCCACATTGATCCGTACGGCAACGCTATGGCAACCCCACTACCACCATAAATCTGCCACCAGCTCAACCACAACTAGCCAGGAAGTCTGGAAACTTTAGGTAGGTATTAAATAAATGCAAGGAAATCTTGAAACAAAATTGTAGAGCAAAAAATTTAATACTTTGTGTACTATCCCCTTGCATCCAGAACAGCAGCTACCCTCTTAGGCATAGACTCCCATAGCTTTTCCAAAAAATCACCTTCAATATCCTGAGTCCAAACCTGATTCAGAGCTTCTGCTAGACATTTTCTAACAGTATCTGGACCTTCTTTAGTCTTGTGAATGTTAGGAAAGTGCTGATACAGCTTTTCCTTGACCCTTTTCCAACAGTGCTCAATAGGATTGAGATCTGGGAAATTGGGTGGCCATTCCATAACTTGTATGTTGTTTTCTGCAAACCAAGTCATGGTATCTCTTGCAGTATGTATCTTTGCACTATCCTGCTGAAAGATAGGATCTCCAAGTGTATCCTCCACCTCCTGCCAGGTATCAACTAAACCATCCTACAAAACTCCAATATATACAAATCTATCCACACTCTTGTCAAAGATAGGAATCAGAGGACCCTTATTTTTACCCCAAATGCAAGCCCAGACCATCAGCTTTATCCCAGATCCTTTTGTAACCCCATGGATACAGTCTTTGTGCCACTTTTCCTCAGGTGTTCTAAAGACCCAAATACTCTTAGGATCTTTGGACTTTTCAACTGAGCATTCATCACTAAAAATGACACCCTCAAAATCTTCCTTTGTCTAATTCCTATACTCCATAGCCCAAGCTAACCTCTTGATAGCATGCTGGTCTTTCAAAAGAGCTCTCTTCCTAGCCCTCCACTTCTTTATGTTGACAGATGCCAAAACTCTTCTAACTGTACTCACAGAGGCATGTGGAGCAACCTCATTGTGCAATTCAGATAAGATCTGGTGGCAGACCTTCTTGGACTCTCTGACTAGGCGGCGGCAGGTTCTGGTATTGATAATCTTGGTTCTGTCTGGTATTGGAAGGTTTCTCTCATCACCCCTCATCTGGTAATAGTTGTAAAAAGTAGCAATAGTACTCTTAGGATGATCTAAGAGCTTTCCAATTTCAGAAAAAGAGGTTTTTTTTTTCTCTAAGAGCAACAATTTGCCCTTTCTCATAATCTGTGAGATGGCCAGTCTTGTGGGAGGGCATTGTTGTGGAGGGGTTGCAGTTTGCGGGGATGGAGTGTTTTGAGGTGTCGGTCAGTAACCACCGATCGTACGGATCAATTTGACATAGTACTTTACCATTGGCATAGAAGGCGTCGCCGGTTAGGGATCAAACCTACATCCTTTTTCCCTTCAAAAACTTAGTGGCCAGCACAGCTGACTGAGCCGGGTATACACTACTGGAATGACGTTCTTGATCGAGCCTTCCACACTTTGGCCAATTCTCCATAACGAAACCCCTTCTCAGGATCATTAACGATCCTAATTTGGCGGTCCTGGATATAAGTAGGAGCCATAAATTGGTCAGGCAATGAGTCGGCACACCTTCCTACACGAAATCCGGGGTTCGCTTCCAAATTTACTGCATATTAGGTACCGCCACCAGCCTTCGTGAAAATCCGGCGCTCTTTCACGGCTATACCATGCTATCCCGGATGGCCAAAATCTAGGAATTGGGCCACGCATTTTCTGGGGGTCTGGGAATTAGCTGGGAGACGGGTGGCAGTATTTGAAGGATTAGTACCTGAACCCCATACCCATGAGCTGTCTCGGTAAATGTCCGAAGGTGTGTTAGCACTTCTGGAGGGACTTCCTGGGGAACAATCATGTAGGCTTACCCCTTAAGTTCCCATTCCTCTTTATCATCCCCGGGGCTACGCGTCGGCCTGTGCCAAACTATTATTTCACAATGTGCTTGTACTACGGAACTCAAATGTGGGGAATAGCTTATCCTCTGGCCATTGTCCCTCCCTGTAACAGAGTTGCCTTTTCCATCCTCGAATACACCTGCCCTGTGAGCTGTCAGAATACCGGTATGAGAAAGTCAAATACCTATAGGAGTGGGGGGGGGGGGCTCTCGGAGCCCCATAAAAGCCCGGAACGGCCTGTCCAAAAAGGTGTGGAGGAGAAGCAGGTGTCGGAAGGAAGCTTTCACTGATGTGCGCTAAAGAGGGGAGAGGGGTTGAATGGGTCAACCGATATGCACAGAGCGGAAGAATGGACATATTAGCAAAGAGAAATAAAGTATGAGGGGAGGGGGGGCAGGAAGAGAATGGAAGGAGGAAACAAATATAAGGAAAATATTTCAAGGCTAGCGTGCGCATGTTCCCACATATACTTAGGTCTGTTCAATGCTACTGCACCTAATCGTCAATGTATATGTCCTGCATGGCATTAATACTTGAAAAGAGGTCGAGTGATATATCATGACAAGAATTCCGGTGCACCTGAGGGTTTTTCTAGAGTGTAGGGCTGTTGGAATATCCCTCGAGAAAAGTACCCAAACCCAAAAGTAGTTGGCCTTATCAAATTTTCTTGTCCCACACATGCCGAACTACTATAGGATACCAGAGCAGTGTTCGCAACCGTCCGGGGCGCCCTACAGGACCCTGGCGGGTTTGTAGTTCCGGGCGTCCCGGGCAGGGTAGATAAGGACGGCAGGGCATGGCGTCCGTCTTTGATATCATAAAGACCGCCGTCCTAGGGGTTGACGCCCGGGCCCGGGAGTCTTAATACAAATGGTATCTTCCGGCTCTCATCTTCAGGGCCATTTGCAGCAATACCGGCCAGGAGGTTCAAAGCCCCCGGTACGTACTCTGCGAACCGGTACCGTACACAATATACCCTGAAAATACAGGTGTAGCGCTTCGAACGTCAACCGATAAATTGCCATCAGAAATGGTATATTAGCTTGCTTGCTTTTTCCTGGTAAGTGTCACTAGTGGGACAGACAGAGTAAAGTGCGAGCTAGTCTAGGTAGGGCTGATGAATAAAATGACCGTACCTCTGTACCGGTATGCTGCATCTCTCCTCCCGGGGAGGTTTGCGGTGTACCGTAATTTCAAGAAAATATACCTCTACCGAAACACCTGCACCGAGAGCTTCGAACCTCCCTAATGGCTGATAGCTTGATCTGGGATCGATACGGTGATACAGCAGGAAAAAAGGAGAATGAAGAATAGAGCACACAGAACTACAAAAAACCTATCCCCAAGAGCGAGGAGTGCATTTGTTTTTCCACAACAACCCCATCTACAAACTGGCGGGTGTAGCCTGATACGACTTAGACAAAGGAAGGGAGAGAAAGAAGTATGGAAGGAAGGGAAGACAGAAAGAGTCCAAAACCTCCGGCCCAGGATACCCTACGCCGGGACCAGATCCAGCGAACCAACTACTCGTAATAAATACTCGTAGCATAGGTAAATCAGGTCGACACTCCCACCTTTTTCCAAACTCTTCGATAGATTACTGCCACCTCCGAAATAATACACTTGCTCCTTGCACCAGGAGGTCTGCTAAAAAATCCACATAGCATTATGGATAGCAAGTACAAACGTATACCCAAACCGTAGCCCAGAGAATCCAAAATAGACCATCTAATTCTAATATTGAAGCTAGATAATGATAATGATAATGATAATAATAAGAATAAGGGTAAGAATAATAGGATTCGACGATCAAGCGCTCGAAGTGCGGTAAGATAGATGGGAACATCCCATCTGTAGCGGCACCATCTGTAACTGCAAGTGTGGGTGGTTGCTTTCTAATTATGAGAATGAGTTGGTAGAGAAAGAAGGCCAAGGAATAGGGGAAATACAGAAGTAAGATGGGTACAGAGGGTAGTTGCAAATTTTGGTTGTGCGTATCACATCCGTGGAATGATCAGGAAGGGGGCGGAGGTTTCCCGGAGAATCCTCCCAGTCGCTGGTGCGAGCCACTAGCACAACAGATGCCATGCACAATCAAGAAATTTTTCTTCGTTCAGGGTGTATAGGTGCATGGCGTTGTAGGGTTGTAGCAGAAGGCTGGCGGCGATAGGTATTACATGCGAATGGGGGCAGGGGTGTTTGAGGCATAATTTGAAACAAGATGAAAAATGGGAGGCTATGGATCAGGAAGACAAGAGGGGAATAACTCAAAGAATCGATATCCCTTTAGTAAACTGTTTTTTTTCAAGTAATTGAACTATAGGCAATCTCATGACTACCTACACTACTCCTTCTGCAGTGCATAGGCCACAATCAAACATTCCTCTCTGCCCCATATTTCAGCAGAAGTTGCGTAACCGAATCGGCCTCCCACCATTCAGCTGCTTGTAGGGCATTGCCATGATGCCCACCCTGAGCATTCACCTTTGCCCCGTGCTCGAGAAGAAGCTGCACAACCGACTCGTTCCCCCTCGATGCAGCTGCTTGTAGTGTATTACCATAATAGCCACCCTGAGCATTCACATCTGCCCCATGCTCGATGAGAAGCTGCACAACAGGTTCACATCCCCGAAGTGCAGCTGCTTGTAGTGCATTGCCATGACAGCCACCCTGAGCGTCCACGTTTACTGCGTGCTCGTTTCTGTTGACTAGCCATTTACAGGCCACCACCAAACTTAACAATGAAGAATAGTAGATCGCTGGTGGGTAAACTCCGGAACAAAGCGGCCTATTCCAGTCACGGTCATCGGGGTTATATATATCCAGCCACCTTTGGCCCAGCTCCAGGACTTTCAGAGAAGCGTCAGAGAGTGGTGCGGGTGCTATATTCTCGATAGCTTTAATATATATGAACCAATAACGAGCACTATGACGGAGAAATGGCGTCACTTGGATTTCGTCTGAGGATATAGCAACATGAGCACCATGTCGTAATATCCGACTAAGGCAAGCATGGCTCATCAGTAAATTGGCTTTATCCGCCGAAATATGGTAGTAGGCACTGGGGCCCTGAGCTGCCCTGTCGGAGATCAGATATTCCTTTACCGAAAAATGCGCCAGTCGTAATAGCCGGGTTTCCTGGGGGGAGGATTGATCGTCCCTCGCATCTTCGAAGGAAATAAGACTTGGACAAATGCTCATGAGGGACTGTATCTCAAAAAGAGTTTCTGGATCCTCGCCATACTTGTTGACATCGTATTCGATCACAACTGCCTCCGCAAGTTGACCTAAGGTCAATGGTTTAGCCGAAAACGCAAGCCAATGCATCGCACGCTGAATGTATTCCCTCTGCGTTTCATGAATGCTGTCAAGGATCCTTAAGTAGACAGAATCTAAGTTTTTCGGTAGTTCCTTCAAGGCAGCTCTAACAGCCTTTGGCGTTATGCATTCCCGGAGAATTCGTAAAAGGCAATCTACCCATCGGAACCTTCACATATCCAACCTTGTATCAGTCTGAGTTGAAGATTGGAAAATTGAGTATAACATACATTCCTTGCGCACGAGCAACGAGTGTGTCCTCTATCTCACATCTAATTTCCTTCGTAAATTTCTTGAAGCCATCCTTGCCGTCTAAGGAGTTCTGTATATATGTGCGGATATCTGCATCAACAATTTCGGATTGCAGGGATATTGCAAAAGTGGCGAGTGGTTCTAAGGATCCCACTATATCCGCCTCGGGACGGCTAGTGACGAGAATGGACAAGGATTCCGCATTATGATTCGCCCTAAGCTCGCCAATCCAGGATAGGACACTCCCCGTGTCTCCTTGGGGAATTCGTCCAAGGCATCTAAAATAATAAAGGTCTTTTTGGAAAACTTCGCGATGCATGAAAGAACGGTTTGCAGATCTTTTATATTTGCTGACGTTCCAATTGCCTGAGAGTTGTGATACAAATTCATAATCTCATCGGGTAAGACCGGGTCGGAACGCGCTCGGAGTAGTTGACCAATGAGAGATAGGAGCATATTGGCCAAATTTTGCTTCTGCGAGTCACTGAAAGTGAAGTAAAAATAGGCTAATGCATAATCGTCGCTGATGCTGCATAGGCTTTAGACATTTTCAATGACGGTAGCACTAAAGTGGGAGTTAGTAAAAGAATTTATATTGCACCTCCAGACATGCGGTTAGGTTCGCACCTGAGGACACTCTTGCCGCATCCAGCTACAAGAGACAAGTGTTAGTGACATTTTTTGGAGCATAAGATTTTAATGATCCATAGACTCACGCATTCCATGAAGCCAGAAAACGCCCCCACTACCTTCCTTCCAGTCCTTATAATCACGTCCCTCCAGAAGCCAATTCCCCGTATCGGGTTCGCGAACAGCAAGTGCAGATGAAAAATTTGTGGCAGGATCAACGACGTTAAGCCATCTCTGTACATCCCGAAATTCGCTCTCTGTGGTTTTAGAAATGTCAGATAGTGGTAAAGAAAATAATTGGCAGGGTTAGGGATGATGTAGCCAAGTACCATCTTGTTTTCGCGACATCTTTGTTACCGTCTTCCTAAACAACCCGTTAGCCCGAAAAACTGGTAAATAAAAAAAGAAAGAAAGGAGAGAAGAGGAAGTTGGGAAGCTAGATTCTTAGAGTACCGAGGAATGGGTAACCTACGTTGTGGCGGTGTTTAGCAACAATTGAAGCTTTGATCTCTGCTCCGCAACCAAGCCTAGGTAGCGCTCCATTTTTGGCTTGTGAACTGGCCAAAGTAATTTCCTGGAGGATTTCCTCCACCCCGGGACATCTAACTTGTCCTTCAACTCCTCCAGGGTAGTCTGATAGCCTTTCAAACTTTCGTTTTTCGTCCACTCAAGGAGCTCGGGATATCGCGGGTTGTTCTCATCTCCCTGCGCGGCAAGGTTCCGTATTTCCTTCAACTGTTTGTCAATACCCCTGATTTCATCTCCCAATTTCTTGAAATCTTGTTGGCTCTCCTTGACTACATCGCAGTAGTCATCGCAAAGTTGGTAAACCTTCACGCCGAGGTGAATGAGTGCCAAGCCGCTGGCAGCCAGGGAGATGGGCTCTGCCATTTCTTTTCTCACGAATGTTGTTGGCTCGAGAGGGAAAGTGTAAGGGTGTGGCTATGATAGCTCGCTATCTTTTGGTAGCGGTAGTAAAAGATGGACAAAAATCGGCACTCAACCCTGAGGTGGACAGTCCCTGTGGCTTCCAATACTTATGACTTATACTTTTCCACTGCGGATTGGAGGATGAGGTGGGAGACCAACTGCTTGTGGAGGGTATCTCAGAGAAAACCTTTTTCCAGATCTCTGAGAGCGGGGCCCAAATTCCAGCGCTTACACATTCACGCAGCAGCTGCACGCCCAATCCCGGCCGGAACGACTGTAAGCCAACCGTTAGACTTGCCTCCATGTTCAGGCTTTGGTCCCATTATAGGGCCCGATTTCCTTCGCTGGATAGATTGTGAATCAGGTGCAGGTAATTTTCTCCCTGCACGTCTCGTTTTTCAACGGAACGAGTAACAAGTTCGTGTTCACACAGGTATCAGACTAAAGAGAAAAGTGATGATAATGTGCCGTACTTGTGCACTTGAAATGCAGTTGGTTAATCCATGTGTACTGTGCTGCACTGTGCCGTCTGGTTCCAGGATGCCCGGTAAACTGTATTTTTAACCCTAACCCACCTTGCAGCAGGCATGGTACTGTACGAGTGCATACTCCGTAAGTATCAGAAAACCACCCCGTCTGAACCATGAAAATCCCTCGAAGGCGGGCCCTGTTTTCTTATATCTATGAACATCCCCGAGTATCACAGTGGATTCATTTGCAGCCGCTACCAGTACTCGTACACTATCAACAAATTTTCTCTCACAACCGCCCAAGCCATAGTCGCGTCTCTGGAGAGGGAAAATCCAGCACTTTCCCCGGTTCCGTGCTTCCGGTTGGATGGTCGGTGTTCGGTGGGCGGAGTTGGCTGTCATGCGGCACTCGGTTGCGCAACATGCGCACTGACTGGATGTGTAAACAACCCCCATTGGTCCACAGGAACCTTGCTGTGTTTTATGGTGGCCCGTGTTAGAAGTACCGTATGATATGGTAGACCAATTGTGGCCTCTACGGTTCTGTACCGTATGGTACGTACTGTACGGTAATGAATCGTGACATTTTTTTTCAATCCTTTTTCTTTTTCCACTATTTTCTACGGATGGCATTCGTAGGTAAAGTACCGCATAAACTGGAAAAAGTGGAAATTGTACTATGACAAGAAGAGAAACACAGCCGAGTTGCGAATATTGTGGCAGTGGTAAGACAACGCCACCGCGGAATAACTTGCATTTTTTCTTCAACCTCAATCGTCTACCGTACCATATGACAGGAAAGTAGAGTCATATTAGTATGAGGCAAGCTGTAGAGTCAATTCAACAGATACGAGAAAGAGTCACAAGAGTAATGAATTAATCAACAAATTTAGTATACTATCTGTAGAGTAAAGAGGAACTTAAAAGACTGCTTAGCTATATAGAATTATAAGGTATTCAACAACAAGATTCAAATCGTACGTGACCGAAAATGCAAATTCAATTTCTCCTCAATCCGATAGAAGCTGAGACAGCAAATACCAACAGCACCCGAAATAGTCAAAGCCAGAATCCATTTCAGACAAGCCAATTACAGCCCGAACAGAGCCATTCCTCAGGCTTATCGATCCGACCAGGAAAGATATCAAAACTGATAGTCGATCGAATACCGAAGGAGTTTCTAAATCCACGAAAGCGAATACAGCGGTCATATACACGAGAATTCAAAATTAAGGTTCTGGAATGGTGAACCCATGCTCGAGTACCGCAATCACCAACAGAGCCATGTCCAGGACAGCTTCGGGCACCTCTATTGAAAGAGGTTTCACAGCGTTATCTTGTTCCCATAACGACTTTGCATAATTGGAGGACCAATGAAGTAGATATTATTAGGAGTCGAAAGGGAGCTCGTTGTAAGAACTGAGTTACTGTTTGGAGCAGATGGCCTGAGCTTGAGGCCAATCTATATGCTAAGTATAGAGAACGGCGGGAGCAGCGAAAAGCAGTTCGTCGATCATGGTTACTGAGAGAAGCACGGGCTTCTTTCATTCACTGCTATCCTACCCGTGATTCGGTTGACTTTTCGTTTTCCAATGGGTGGCTTCATGGATTTCTCGCTCGCCACAGTATCACTCTTCGTTTTACGACTAACAAATCACAAAAGATTCCTGAAGATTACCTGAATCCTATCCTTTCTTGGTTACGATTTAATCGCCGAAATTCGCAAGTTCGTCCTAATACCTCTGATGAGAGCCGAGTCGTTGGTAGATACCTACTTGATAGCATCTGCAATGTAGATGAAACTCCATTGCCATTTGAATACTTAGATGGTCAAACTTATGCCGATAAGGGTAGTAAGTCAGTACAAGTTAAGGCATCTAATAGCGGATGCCAGTGGGATAAACGGCAGGCAACAATCATCTTGGCTGCTTTTGGAAGTGGAAAACTACGAGTGCGACCAACAATCATCTTTCGGGGTAAGGAACGATATGCTGGTCGGAGGAGTGAGTTTTATCAACATAAGCAGGAAGAAGAGGCTTTGCGATACCACCCTGAGGTTCAAGTTCGGTGGAACGAAACTGCATATGCTAATTCGGATATTCTTGTGGACTGGATCAAAACTCAACTTGTACCGGCACTTCCCTCAGGTCCTCAACTCCTAGCCCTCGACGTTGCCAAATTTCATTCTACGGAAGATGTTTTATCTATATTACGCTTGAACAACATTACTCCCTCGATGATTCCTCCTGGCTGTACTGGGCTGGTACAGCCACTCGATGTTTCCATCAATAAACCTTTTAAAGATATCCTTCGCAATATCTTAGATACGTTGTTAGACAACTACCAAGACCTTCACAATACCAACTTGCGGGAATTATCACTCACCAACACCTCCGCCATTGCTGAAAGACGGATTCTTGTTACCCATGCGGTGGGTCAGGCATGGGAGATTTTTTGTAATCGGAATCAGGAATCTGTTATTCGAACCTTTCGTCAACTTGGTCTCACTCTTCCGATCGATGGTTCCTGTGACAATGAACTACGAGTAAAAGGGATATCTTCATCTCTTCTACAAATAGGAAATTGGAGATCCGAAGAGATTGAAGGCTCAGGAAACCTGTCTAACGGTGGTCAGGATACGGAGAATACAGTTGCTGTAGAAGACTTGGAGGAGGGCTTGGATACTCAGGTAGAATTTGTAGATAGAGAATGATGAATAACAGGAACTGCAGGAGACTACTGGGGACTTTGGGGGACTACCAGGGACTACCAGGGACTACCGGGAGCTGTGGGGGACTAACTACTGGGAGCTGCGGGGAACTACCGGGAGCTGTGAGGGACCACTGGGAGCTGTGGGGGACCACCGGGGACTGCAGGCAGGAGATACCGGGGACTGCGAGGGACTACCGGGGACTGCAGGCGGGAGATACCAGGGACTCCGAGGGACTACTGGGGACTGCAGGCAGGGGGATACTGGGGACTGCGAGGGACTACCGAGGACTGCAGGCGGGAGATACCAGGGACTCCGAGGGACTACTGGGGACTGCAGGTGGGGGGATACTGGGGACTGTGAGGGACTACCAGATATGGCAAGAGACTGCTGGAGATGCCGGGGGGCTACTGGAGATACTGGGAAATCACTGGAGAGGACCAGGGACTAACAGGGATAGTAGGAGACCACCGGAAATGGCAGAAGGCTGTAGGATAGCGGCCCTACTCCAACAATAGATGGACTTGACGTTTGGGAATACTGGCTGCTCTTGAAGCTGAGATAGTGTTTCAGAGGACTGCCTTACCAGCTGCTCTACCCAGCAATCCTGAATAGATAAAATGTAAAGACTCCATTCAGTAAAGTCAGTATTGAATTATCTAGCAAAATTTTCTCGGAAGGAATCTAATGCCCACACCATTACTACC